CTTTCTTTGTCATCCAAAAATACACTACATTTAATAAATCTTTAAATAACCCATTTTTCATTGAAGATTTGGAAAACAGTACATTGAATTTCATTATGTTTTACATTTACAAGGATCATAAATTCATAATAATTCCCTTTGAATTCTAGGCCATATATTTAATTAAAGTGGTTGATTTCTTACCCATTTTTGTGTGTGAATTAGTTGTCTGCCAGGTGGACACAGAAGGTGATTTAGAAACCAGATGCAAATGCTAGTGTTCATCTACATCTGATGGAAGAACCTGAAATATCTTTATCAACAGAAGAAAAAAAATGCAACTTGTGTATTTGGTATTGTTGATAGTTACTGTTCCTCATGCATCTCAGTTTCAACTTATGTTTTAGTAACTTGAGAATGAGTGGAACTTCCCAATATCAGAAGGATATTGATCACTTGGAGCGAGTCCAGAGGAGGGCCACAAAGATGATCAGAGGGCTGGAGCACCTCTCCTATGACGAAAGGCTGCGAGAACTGGACTTGTTCAGCCTGGAGAAGAGGAGGCTCCGAGGAGACCTCATTGCAGCTTTCCAGTATCTGAAGGGGGCCTACAAGGGTGCTGGGAGAGGACTTTTTACAAGAGCCTGTAGTGATAGGACAAGGGGTAATGGGTATAAATTGAAATCAGGGAGGTTTAGATTAGATATCAGGAAGAAATTCTTCACGGAGAGGGTGGTGTGGCACTGGGACAGGTTGCCCAGAGATGTTGTGGATGCCCCATCCCTGGATGTCTTCAAGGCCAGGCTGGATGAGGCTTTGAGCAACCTGGTCTAGTGGAAGGTGTCCCTGCCCATGGCAGGGGGGTTGGAAATAGATGATCTTTAAGGTCCCTTCCAAACCAAACCATTCTGTGATTCTATGATTCCTTGTGGATGACTGGAAACAGTCCAGAAGACAAAGTATAGCAAATTTAGCTTCACCCTGTTTTTAACATTTGTGTTACTTCCACTGTTGTTGATAGGAGGGGAAGGGGAGCACTGTACTGCCAAGAAAGAAACATATGATGTTCTTAATATTGAGAGTTAAAGTCCCAAACATATTTTGTGTGCTAAATGAGTAGTGAGCAGTATTAGGTATTCTTTAAAAATCTAAAAACTGAGTCAAAAGTAATGTTTGGGTGGGCACTGTTGCAGTTTGGAAAATTTTTGACTTTTAGTTTGTCTATCTACTCTTTACACCACTACATCTTATGTTCACAAGTATCACTCAATCATTATTTCCTCTATTATACCATTTTTTTGAAAATTGGAAGGGAGATGAACTTTGTGGAAAATACTTGGGAAGAAAAGGACCTCAAACCTGAATATCCTTTGCCACAGCAAAAATTGTGATATGGTTCACTGTAAAGCAAAATATGCATAAACATAGAATTAGTTGAGAAGAGGTTCAGTCTGCTGGCAGGGGAAATACAAATTGGCCAGAAAGCTGTAATGATTACGCATGCTCTCCAAATGGTGAAAAAAACCCTCTATAGGAAAATTTCCACAGCAGTAAGCTTTGTAGTAATGAAAAAAAAAAAAACCCACAACCAACCAAAACTACCCTAACTATCTATTCACACTTATCACATGCAGAAGGTTTGATCTCATCTCTTAATAACAACCACCAACAGTTCACATTTCTACCGTGTGATTGGGGTATGAAACAAATCAAGGTTTTTACCTGATCAGCATTAAGTCATATTCCGTATAGGGAGTGTTTACCCTTCCGTCTTTACAATTGTATCTTTATAATCATATTTAAACCGTGGAAGACTGGTGAGTTCTTGGTGGTATTTATCATAATTCCAAGTGGTGGTTATAATTTGTTTTCCTGAATAATAATCAAGTAGTATAAGGCATCATTGACTTTACAAAGCAAAATGTTAAAAGCATGTGCTCTTCACAGTTGTTATTATGGCATTACTTAATAAGTAAGTCAAGGTAGACACTGTACACATTTAAACCAGACAAAGTTTTTGTCTGGAAACATGATCTCTATTAGTGCGAATCTGGGTTACAGCACTGTAATTTTCTGTATCCATATTTTATGTGCTGCCCAACATTTTAATTTAACACATTTTCCCTATAGCTAAAATGAATAATTACATGCTTTGTACCTGTATTGGGTTTGTGTGGCAAGGTTCTGCTAGCAGGGGGGTGCTACAGGGGTGGATTCTTTGAGAAGCTGCTGGAAGCTTCCCATGTGTCCAATAGAGCCAATGTCATCTGGCTCCAAGATGGACCTGCCACTGGCCAAGGCCGAGCCCATCAGTGATGGAGGTAGCAAGCTGGGATAACATATTTAAGCAGGGGAAAAAGTTGATGCACAACAGGAACTGTAAGATGGGGAGAGGAGTGAGAATATGTGAGAGAAACAGCTCTTCAGACCCTAAGGTCAGCGGGGAAGGAGGGGAGGAGGTGCTCCAGGCGCAGGAGCAGAGATTCCCTGGAAGCCTGTGGTGGAGCCCATGGTGAGGCTGGCTGTGCCCCATGGAGGGTCACAGTGGACCAGACCTGCCTGCAGCCCTGGGAAGACCTCATGCCAGAGCAGGGGGATGCCCGAAGGAGGCTGTGACCCCCTGGGCAGCCCACGCTGGAGCAGGCTCTTGGCAGGAGCTGTGGCCCCATGGAGAGAGGAGCCCAGGCTGGAGCAGGTTTGCTGCAGGACTTGTGACCACGGAGGACCCAGGTTGGAGCAGGGGGCTCCTGAAGGATGGCATCCCACGGGGAGGACACACGCTGCAGCAGCAGAGATGGTGTGTGATCGACTGACCACAACCCTTTGTCGCCACAATCAGAGGAAGGAGGGAGAGAAGGTAGGGAGCAAAGCTGAGCCTAGGAAGAAGGAAGGGGTTGAGGGAAGGTGGTGTAAGATTTGGTTTTAGTTCTCATTATCCTACTCTGATGTGTGTGATAGTAAATTACACTGATTTCTCCAAGTTGAGTCTGCATTGCGTGTAACAGTAACGGGTAATGATCCCTCCCTGCCCTTATCTCAACCCACGAGCCTTTCATCATGTTGTCTCTCCCCTGCCCCGCTGAGGAGGGCAGTGACAGAACAGCTTTGGGCCTTCAGCCGAGGGTCAACCCACCACAGTTCCATTTTTAACATAGCTGTTTTAATGATAGTTTTGATTATGTAACTGCTGTGCAACAAGCATGTGTTATAAACCATCATTATATATGATTTATGAATATGAAACGTACATTTTTCATCCATATGCTTTAAATGAGTGGAATTTTGCAAAAATGTAATAATTTAATTCATTATTATACAACTGATTTACAAGTAAATAATTTTTTTGGCCACATGGTAAAGTGTGCCATGGACATGCCTTGATCCTGACAAAAGTTGTTAAGAAGCTGAGCATATCTCTAGTATGAATAACTTAGCATAGCTAGAAGGCTTTTCACACAGCCATGTGTTTGGTAGAAATTACCTTTCCAAACAAAATGTCCAAACAGTCCATGTTTCTCTAGACTGAAGTACATTATTCAAGCAGATATGTTTTGCTGAAAATAAGCATAGTGGATAGATTGCTTTACAGGTTAGAACTAAAAATTTCAAAATATTTGCTTTGTTCAAGCGTGGCATTTTAAGAGGTGATTCATCATTTTTGTTAGTAGTAGTATTGAAGATTCAGACATTTTATGAGACATCTTTGTTGGTGGAATGTGTTTGGAACACAGCAATTTGCATTACAGCTGAGAAGATAATACACCAATACATTGCACAGGCCACTTCTTACTCTTGATTCAACTGGGAAATGAAAACGTAATGAAACAGAATTTCATTTTGATAGCATTGATTACTCTGTTGGCACTTTACCTTTTCTAAACCATTGTTATGACAGTCACATCTAGTTCTACCTCAAAGACACACACTTAACATGTATTATGTTTTGTTAGTAATCTCTCAAGTGACTTGAATACACTAACCACTGTTTCAGCACTAAACAAGTAATGCTAAGTGGTGTACTGTTAAGTTCTGAGAGCAACATAAAGTAAAAGCCCATTTCTTTTAGAATGTCATTACATCCTGTAATAATTATTTTGGACTAATGGAATTCTAGGTGTATTTTAATACGTTGTGATACTAAAGAAGCAGAGATGATGAGCAGCTAAAATAAATGCATTTTTTTTAGAAAGTCCAGATCATTGTTCCGTAGGTTGTTCTTCATTAAAAGCTATATTATCCTAAATACATCACAAGTTTTCTAAGGTCAGTTATTGAAATATCAGCTGTCACTTGCAGTGTGAGTAAGAATATGGCCGGTCTTTTTTTTTTTTTCCTCGATTTCTCTCACACTTTCTATTAATCCCTTTTCTTTATAGAACTAACAACTTTCACATGTGTAAATTAACAGCATCACTGTACTTACAATGACACTTTTATGTGGCTAAGTTCTTAAAGACAAAACTAGTTAGTATAACATTATTTGTGATGATTATTTGGTTTCCTGACCCGTAACTATGGCTGCAGGATGCTGTTGCTGTTTTCAGGCAGACAACACGCAGTGGTGGACTCCTTATGTTGTAACCCATCGCTGTTACAAGTTGCCTGGGCCATGACAATAAACACTAGTTGTATTGGGGTTATTTGTTTTGGGGTTATTTGGGTTTTTTTGGGTGGGCGATGGGGTGGGGGTGGATGGTCTGTTTGGTTTGGGTTTGGTTTTTTTTTCCAAGTCAGTTGAGCAGACTGTTTTGTTTTTCATAGAATCACAGAATGGTTTGGGTTGGAAGGGACCTTAAAGACCATCTAGTTCCAACCCCCCTGCCATGAGCAGGGACACCTTCCACTAGATCAGTTACTCTATAAATTAATTATAATACAAATTACATAACTGTCTTACAGAAAGCAAAGTATTTTATAAAAACCTCATGTATTCAATATATTTTGGATATTCCAGGTGTTCCAAAGATTAATTTTATTCTTACAAAATATCTTAGATGAAATATTCACTGCCTTGATTTCAGGAGCTGATGCTGTGGAGGCCCAGTGTAAGAGATTTGAAGTGAGAGCAAGTGAAAGTGGAAAAGTATTGTTTTCTGCAGATGAAGACGAGATTGTCATTGGAGCCGACAGACTGAAAGTAACAGGTACAGTAATAATAAGGTTTCTAAATGGATGTAAAATTTAAAAAAAAGTCTTTTAAATACCCTTAGTAATAATTAATAATTTTTCTACAAAATTTTCATTCACTGGAGAGGAAAAAGTCTTCTCATCATGAGTGATTTCTTAACCAGCCGAATGATATTACACAATCTAAAAATTATTTCTTTTAAAGGCAGATTTGAATTTAAACTCTGAAGGACCAACTATGGTACAAATCACCTTTAACACAGTGATTCAGATTTTCTAAGTTACCGTTAAGCATTGTTTTGTGGTACTTATGCCATTTTTTTAGTTAATGACCCTTCACATTGGTAAAAAACATTGATATATATTATGACCCTTTTTTTTTCTGTATACAAAGTATCAAGTCTATCTTGATGTGAATTAAGGATATGTATCTGCTTTACTTTAGGAGGCTCACTGAAGTTTAGTAAGTAGAAACGTCATCTTCATTTGAACATTTGTTCAGTAAAATAATAAAAATAATTCTCACAGATCTTTTGCTACCAGCGTTGCATATATATATTTATCAGTAATTAATTTGATTTTAGAAATGTCTTAGCTTATAAAATAAAAAAAATAGTTTACCAAAGTTTGTTTTAGATAAACGCTTGAACTTTGACTACTTAATAAATTTTTTTCTGAACTTAGGCTGGACTTGAGCTATTCACTCACAGTCTAGAATAAGGTACAGAACTTGCATTATTTCACCAGTCAGTGGTGTCTCTATCTGGGGATGCCTGCTTAACAGAGTTTGAAATCAACCTACTAATCTGAAAGTTCAACTGTTCAGAAAGTATAAGATGGTATTGGTGATGACTATGATAAGGTACCACGTTCTGGTCTGTAAAATTAAGAAATGTATTACTAAAAACTTTAAGCCTTTTAAAAATGTATTATGTAGTTCTACCTATGTGTAATGCCAGATACAGAATTATAATAATCCAGGAGGTCCACAGTCAAATTATGACTGAACTTTCTCCATAAACCTCAAGATTGTTGCTTGCCAGTATATGTGTGATAACTTCTTTTCCCTCTTTCATTCCTATCTGGCCTCTGTTTATCTTCTTTAGCCAAGCAGCCTGTTTTATCATAGAATCACAGAATGGTTTGGGTTGGAAGGGACTTAAAGATCATCTAGTTCCAACCCCCCTGCCATGGACAGGGACACCTTCCACTAGACCAGGTTGCTCAAAGCCTCATCCAGCCTGGCCTTGAACACTTCCAGGGATGGGGTATCCACAACATCTCTGGGCAGCCTGTGCCAGTGCCTCACCACCCTCTCTGGGAGGAACTTCTTCCTGAAGCTTTAACAGTGCTAAAATAAAAGAAAAGGCTTTTACAAGCAGGCAGTTTAGTGATGTTGCAATATACAATACAAGACACTAAATTGTATCAGCTCACCAAATTTGGGATTAGGAAAGGGACACATCAGTGTTTTGTTGAGCCAGCAGCCATTCTTCATAGACAGTAGTTGTACAAGAATTTTACCGTAATAAAGCCTAAAAGATTAACTGGAATAACACAATAAGGAAAAAGAGAATCATACTGACTCCTGCTAAGGTTCAAACTTGATCAAAATATTAACTACTGAAAAAATTAATCTTAAACATTCAGTCAACACAGGAGATTTCAAACCATCTATCATAACTTAAAAAATAAAGCATCTTACAAATGACACTGAGGATTAGATTTCCTGCCATTAAGAAATGTAATCACAAATTGTAGATGTAATAGTAATTTTTTTTTTTTTTTTATCAGACTTCAAAAGCAAAGCACTGCTCAACTGGCTTTAACTTCAAAGTGGCTTGAGTTCCCACAGCACCTGTTGACATCAGTAGTGTAGAAAGCAGAGTACCTAATGAAAATTTATTTGATGGCTCGTAGCACAGAATATAAAATTGTTCCTTGTGAAAAGAACAGGATTTTCTCCCTAATTCTAGAAATACATCTGACTATGTGTGTCTATATTGATCTCTCCTGCCTAAATTAAGAGGGGAGAAAAAAAAAAAGTAAAGGGGTAAAGGCTAGAAAAGCGTAAGTTAATGCTGTTTTGGTGTATTCATCTTAGTTTAAGTATTGCTGTATCTCTGTTGAGTCCTTCTAGAGAATCTCACTACTAAAGCTGTTTGTACAAGTAGCTGGTTTTCCTTCTATGGCTAAAGTGAAAAATAAACAAGAGAGACGATTGAATTTTCAAAGAAATTCTGTCATTGAACTAAAAAAAAAATATTTAAGTGTTAAAACAATAAAAACATTGGCTTTAATTACTTACACTTACACAAAAAATAGAAAGATTTTAGCAGCATTTAAATATCACAAAGAAAATATGCATAATGGAGGATTTATCAGGTTCTGAGTGTTGACATGTCAAAAAGTTAAAACCAAACTAGCTCCATTAAATAGCCTGATGTCCAATATTTTGGGCAGTTTCTTTGGAAAAACATGGTAAGGTGCTTTGTAATTGTAATTTCAAAGAGTAATTTACTTTTAAAAATCCCTGGAAATTTATTATCTTCTGTTGTGTTTATTCAAAGATAATTTAATGAAGTTGGGATCATTCTTTCTAATCTCTGGATAATCATCTTGTCTTGAAATCGCATTTCATTAATAAGCTATCTTATAATGAGGTTATAAAAGGCTAGTTTCAAAATTTTAGCTTTAAATCCCTATGTACTACTTTAGGTTAACCCTTCCATCATCTTGTTAGAGAAGAAAAATATTATGCCACAGAATGAAGGCAAGAGTATTATGTTTCTAAATGAATGAGCATTTCTGAAAAGCTTAGACAGAATAACCTCATATCCCAGTTTCTGTATCCCTAAAAGGCTTTTTGCAGCATAAGTACTAATCTGCAACCAAATAATAAAGCTATAATGAAACCTCTATGCTTTACTGTTGACTTCAGTCTAAAGCTGAAATTATTTAACATAGATTTCCCAATGAAGACTAAAAATCATATAATCCATGAAATCTCAAGAAAAGTATTAAAAAAAAATCTGCTAAAGGGTAAAAAAGCTCATTCTGTCTTCATGGAAAAATAAAATAATAAAATCTTTATTTCATATAGCAGGTCTTTGAATTCTGTCCAAGGGCTGTGTGATACCTTTAAATTCTTCAGCAAACGCATGAAAGGTGATGAGTCCCTGTGAGTTACATCAATCGCACTACATTACTCTATGTGACATGATACGACTGATGAAACCTGGCAAAGCATCACGATGTCAAACATCAACCAGAATTCTTTTTTGGTGTATTTTTCTCAGGGCTGCATTTTGATAATCATAGTGCCTTGAGGTGAATATAGGGAAGGAAGAACAGAGAAAACAAAAAATGAATATCAAAAAGCAAAACTAATCTGTTCTTATTTGGAGATGAATTTCTCACATAAGATTATTTAAGTGTGATTTCATTTTCTTGCTTATCTGTGAATAGTGTCTCTTTGGAAATACTTCACTGTGAGTAAGTGCAACAAATGATGCATTTTGATAATTAATTTCCTAAAGCATACCAGTTTCATGGGCTTTTATAAACTACTGTGGCAGTCTGGGATTTATTTTATATGATTTTTTCTCAGTTCAGACGAATGCTTTTGTAATGCACAGCTTTAAAGAGCAGTCTATATTAAGGCAGTATAAGAAATGCTTGATTAATAAGAACTTGAAATACTAAGTTCACAGCTTTCCATTGATTATTTTTGTAGCATTTTTATTGGTAAATTTTATATAGGAAGCCTATTTCAGGGAGAAAGGTTTACTAAAAACAGGCTAGTAATCCAGATATCAATATATTTCCCAGATAAGAAAAATAGGGAGTCAGTACTTTTTAGTTTAGAGATATTGCAGCTATAAGAGTCTCTTGCTTTAAAGAGTCTCTTGCTTTAAAATTAGGCATTTGGCTGTTTTAATTTAGACTTCTTATTCTTCCTTCCATTATTACTTTTGCTTTTTCTCTTAACTGTGTTAGCTCTTTCCTACTTTATCATTCAAGGAAAGAAGAAAAAAAATTCAAACTTTGCTTTCTTAGACAGGGCTGTTAGAATTTTAGCTGACTCCTGCCCCTTTGCAGGGATGCCTTCCACCACCAAGTTTAAGATGCACCATAGAGTTTTGTAGGAAGGGGGGAGAAAGGTACGGTGAAGTAAAAATATTTCTAAGGAGCTGGGAAACAAGCAGGAATAAGGAACTGAGTTTCTGGTGGGGTCACAGGTTCTTTTCTGCACATAGTTAAACCTTTCTCTGTCCTGTATGTTCATTCTGTCCCAATGCATGAACAGCATGTATGGCATTGTGGAGTCTTCTTCACTCCCTCTGCAGTTGCAAGACAAAAGTACCTGTTTGACTTTAATTTCTCTTCTTTAAATTTAATACAGAGTCTTCTGCCCTATGCTTTTATTTCTTATTTCTTGTAATTGTAATATGACCTCTCTGAGGTATTCTTGTAGCAGAACTTGAAAACACTGTATAACCCACACTCGACAATGACAGTGCAAGCGTATGTCACAACTCAGCTTTATCCAGCCGGAGTCCTTTTAAGAAAACAGATTAAGAACATCTAGCTCAATATACCATTTTCTGAGACACTGCTGTAAAAGAAGAATGTAATTTTTTCTATAAATCTTTCACTGTATGTCTCTGTTAGTACAGTTTGTCTTTCTGTTTTTTCTGAAACCGAACTTGTAGCTAGCAGGTGTAAGTAGTACAGAGAAAACTGGGGGTCATCTGGTTATATTCTAAGCAAAATACCTACTTTTTTGTACAACATGAGATTGTTTTCTCTGAAGGTGCTTTTGCTCAGGTGGTTTGAAGAGGTTAAAGGTTAAAAACAGATTATCAGATTTTTTTTTTCATTAAACTTGATGTGTTTTATCTAGGTTATACAAACATTTTGCTGTCTATGATATTTGAAGGGGAAGTGACTGCACCTTAGCTATCATATTGTCTCCCACACATTCTTCTGATCTACAGACTTCATTCAGACTTGT